TATAAGACATGTTATAATTAACCCATGTATGTGTATTGTTTTTCCTATGCTTTGGATTTTTTTCCCCTCAGAATAAATTTTCCAAGTTTTAAATACTTAACATTTCCAAAACTCAATATATAAAACCTCATAACTGGTTGAAAGATGCATTAGTAATGTACAAGAGTGCTACTGCAGAGTCAGCCTCATTGTTCAGTGATCAAACCCTGCACATAGGGAACCAGATCCCATATGAGTGACCATGATTTGAATCTCGGTCCTGGTGGCTTAAAAAACAGGCCAGGTGTGCACGTGTGTGTGCCTGAAATCCTTAAGGAAAAGAAATTGTATTGTGACCACCCCCCAAAGAGGGAGGGTGCTTTCTTTCTGATAAGCACACATGCCTCTGGAAATAAAATATAATTCCACTTTTTTTTTTTTGAGAGGTTTTTGCTTTAGGGTGCATGTGTGCGCCAGACAGAGAGAGACAGAGAGACAGAAAGCGAGAAATCACCCCCCAGGGGGGATGGCCACGCTGCAATCCCTTCTCCTCCTTTCTCCTCTCGGGATCTTGGACACACAACGCACACACGCCCGGCGTGAGTTTTAAGCCACTGGGTCTGGGACGCAAACCGCTGTTGACTACGTGGGAGTCCAGCGACATAGCCATTATGCTAACTGCTGGTCCCAAAAAATAATTCCTCTTTAAAAAAAAAAAAAAAAATCCTTTTGGCTCTCTGAGTAGCACCATGGCGGCTGGCAAGAATAAGCGCCTTATGAAAGGTGGCAAAAAGGGAGCCAAGAAGAAAGTGGTTGATCCATTTTCTAAAAAAGATTGGTATGACGTGAAAGCACCTGCTATGTTCAACATAAGAAATATTGGGAAGACACTGGTTACCAGGACTCAAGGAACCAAAATCGCGTCCGATGGCCTTAAGGGCCATGTGTTTGAAGTGAGCCTTGCAGATCTGCAGAATGACAAAGTTGCATTTAGGAAATTCAAGCTAATTACTGAGGACGTTCAGGGCAAAAACTGCCTGACTAACTTCCATGGCATGGATCTCACCCGTGACAAAATGTGTTCCATGGTCAAAAAATGGCAGACCATGATTGAAGCTCATGTTGATGTCAAGACTACCGATGGTTATTTGCTGTGTCTCTTCTGTGTTGGGTTTACTAAAAAACGCAGCAATCAGATACGGAAGACCTCTTATGCCCAGCATCAGCAGGTCCGCCAAATCCGGAAGAAGATGGTGGAAATCATGACCCGGGAGGTGCAGACAAATGACTTGAAAGAAGTGGTCAATAAACTGATTCCAGACAGCATCAGAAAAGACATAGAAAAGGCCTGCCAGTCCATCTACCCTCTCCACGATGTCTTTGTCAGGAAAGTCAAAATGCTGAAGACGCCCAAGTTTGAATTGGGAAAACTCATGGAGCTTCATGGTGAAGGTAGTAGCTCTGGAAAAGCTACTGGGGATGAGACGGGTGCCAAAGTTGAACAAGCTGATGGATAGGAACCACCAGTCCAAGAATCTGTTTAAAATTCAGACTTTTAATAGTGACAAATAAAAAGTCCTATTTGTGACAAAAAAGAAATAAATAAATAAATTGCACCTTCGCCAACAGTTGTTGGTTTATGCCATTTTACTAAGCTTTGTATAATATGCAGGCTTTGGTTCATATAATGAAAAGAGACAATACCTAAGAGGTTAACTGGCACTGTTTAACTGTGAACTACTAGGTGGAGCTAAAATTTCAACCATACATCTATAATATAAATATGTCTCTCAGAACACTTTTTTTTAGAGGTTTTTACCTTAGGGTGCATGCACTCAACAGTGAGAGGGGGAGAGACAGAGACAGTGAGAGGAAAAGTGAGAAATCAACCCCCCCCGAGTCAGGGAGACAGAGAGCAAGAACTCACCCCCCGGAGGGGATGGCCTCACTGCAATCCCTTCTCCTATATTCTCTTCCTGGGATTGTGGGCACGCAGCCATGTGTGCCTGGCCTGAGTTTCAAGTCACTGGGACCAGGACTTGAACTGTCGTTGGCCATGTAGGAGTCTGGCTACCTAACTACTATACCATCTGCTGGCCTTAAATGCTTTACTATTCTTGACATACAGATTAAATATCCCTTATCCAAAATCCTTAGAACTGAAAGTATTTAAGGATTTAATAAAATTTCAGAATATGTATTTAAGAAAATTAGACATCTTGGGAATAGGATCCAAATCTAAATGTGAAATGCACTGAAGATTCATAAACCTCTTATACACAGTCTGAAGGTAATTTTATACGATATTCTTGTATTATAGCATTTTGAGGCCATCCCATCATATGGGGTCAGGTGAGGAATTTTCTACCTGGTATTATGTTGGTGTTGAAAAAGTTTTATATTTTGAAGCATTTTGGATTTCAGATTAGGAATGCTCAACCTTTACTAAAAATTTTAAAAATACTTTTTAATAATACAATTTCCTTTTAGTGATAATTTCTTTTAGACAGATTTTTGCTATATAGCGCGTGCACTCACTGAAGAAAGATGGAGTGACAAAAAGAAAGAAATCACCTCCTGTGGTCAAGCCACAATTCCTTCTCTTGGGATCTTGGGCATGCACGCACATGTGCCCAGAATAAGTTTTAAATTGTCAGGTCTAGGACCTGAACTGTGGTCAACTATGTGGGAGTCCAGCAACACAGAATGAATTAAAGGGTCCAGTCTTTAGTAGTCCCTTAAATGATAATTTTGAAGTATAAGAGACAGAATTTTGAACTGAATTTTAAATACAAAGGTTAGAATCACACATATTTAGGGAATTCATGTATAGAAAAAATTATTTTTCGGGACCGGCAGTTAGTGTAATGGCTATGTCGCTGGACTCCCACGTAGTCGACCGCGGTTCGTGTCCTGGACCCGGTGGCTTAAAACTCATGCCGGGCATGTGTGCGTGTGTGCCCAAGATCCCGAGAGGAGAATGGAGGAGAAGGGATTGTGGCGTGGCCATCCCTCCTGGGGGGGGTGATTTCTCGCTTTCTATCTCTCTGTCTCTGTCTGTCTGATGAGCACACACGCCCTATAGCAAAAACCTCTTCAGAAAAAATTTTTTTTTCAAAATTTCTAACCATTCTGGAACCAGCAGTTAGTGTAATGGCTATGTCGCTGGACTCCCACGTAGTCGACCGCGGTTCGTGTCCTGGACCCGGTGGCTTAAAACCCACACTGGGTGCGTGTGCATGCGTGCCCAAGATCCCAAGAGGAGAATGGAGGGGAAGGGATTGCGGCGTGGCCATCCCCCCTGAGAGGTGATTTCTTGCTTTCTGTCTCTCTATCTCTCTCTGTCTGTCTGGCGAGCGCCCATGCCCTATAGCAAAAAAACCTCTCCAAAAAAAAAAAAAAAATTCTAACCATTCCTATCTTAAATTAGAAACATAATTGAGATAATTTTTAAAGGCAAGTACCCCTTGGGGCCAGCAGGTAGTGTAATGGTTAAGGTACAGAACTTCCACATGGCTGACCACAGTCTGAGTCCCAGATCCAGTAGCTTGAAATAATGCTAGGCACATGAGCTCAAGATCTCAGGAGAAGAATGAAAGAGAAGAGACTGTGGTGTGGCCATCTCCCCCAAAGGGCAGGGTGATTTCTCACTTTCCCTCTCACTGTCTCTTTTCTCTCTCCGGTGAATACATGCACCCTATGGCAAAAGAAATCCTTAAAAAAAAAAAACGGTAGTTAGGGTGCTGGATTCTCACATGGCTGACCATACTTTGAGGCCCTGACCTAGTGGCTAACTCTCTCACTTTCCCTCTCTTTCTCTCTCTGGTGAGCACACATGTTCTACAGCAAACTTAAAAAAAAAAAAAAGTAAAATAAATAATTTTTAAAAATGACATTTTATTTATTTATTTATTTTTTGGAGAGGTTTTTGCTATAGGGCATGTGCGCGCGCCAGAAAGACAGCGAGACAGAAAGTGAGAAATCACCCTCCAGGCTGATGGCCACGCTGCAATCCCTTCTCCTCCATTCTCCTCTCGGGATTGTGAGCATACACGTACATGCGCCTGGTGTGAGTTTAAGCCACAGGGTCCGGGACTCTGGGACTCGAACCACGTTCATCTACGTGGGAGTCCAGCGACATAGCCATTACGCTATCTGTTGGTCCCCTAATGACATTTTATTTTTGTCACAAAAAATATAGTAAACAGGGGCCAGCAGATGGCATGGTGGTTAAAGGTGCTGGATTCCTACAAGGTTGACCGCAATTTGAATCCTGGACCTGGTGGCTTCTTTCTCACTTTTCCCTTTCTCTCCCTCTCTTTCTCTCTGTGTGTGATCATACTAAAAAATAAGAGTAACAAATGGATTAAATCAATAAATAATTATTTAAAAAGAACTATAATAAACAAGAAAATCTATAGACTTGTGGTCCAGAAATAATAAAGACTTTAGGAAGAAATGTACTAACAAGGCCCACTGGATAACCTAAGACTATCTCATCTACTGGGAACTTCTGACTCAGGAATTGTGAAACTCTGCTCTGAATCCCATACAACTGCTATTCTACCACTTCTCATAACAAACGCCATTCCTCTATCTCTTAACACCTGTCCATCAACCTCACCCTAACACACACACACACATAGAAGCACACCTCATTACACTGAAAACTGGAAATTGTCTTTCTTCAACCTCCTTAGGTAGAGCTAGGTTCACAAAAGAAGTAAGGAACATGGAGCCAGAGTCACTACTCTCACAAGTCAACTGACCATCTTCATACAACCCCTTATCTTTTCTCTAGCAAATACTACTTAATTATATTCCCTTATTTTTCAGAGTTCATTATAAAATTTGCAATAAAATCAGTAATTATACAGATGAAAAAAATATCAAAACTGCAATGAAGAAAATATGGTACTGTGAAATCTAATGTAATTTCTGTTCATATAAAAATATATTTATAAAAATACTTCTGTTAAAAGCAGATCTAGAACAATTATTTTTCTTCTATCACTTAATACCTTTTGTTCTAAGAGTGCCCTTCGGAGAGAGACCCTCTGTTCAAGTTCCCGAAGCTCTCGGTCATGTTGTGCCTCAGCTTGCATCTTGATTTTGCTCTGATATGCATTCAACAGCTCCAGTTCCTGCTGCAGCTGCATCTTCAAAACCTGGCACTCTGCTTCCTGGGCTTCATCCAAACGCAGCTGAGAGAGAGAAAAAAAGAAAGAAAACAGACATATCCTACTGTGAGCTATCTAGTTATGACCTATAGAAAGGAGGAAGAGGGACAGAAGACAGACTACTCTTGTAGGTTACACAATTGTTCTCTCTTGTATCTTGGAGTGAACATCTCTGAAAAAGAAAGGCACAGTAACCAATGATGGCATTATGGAGATAAAGTTATCACAAGCTACTTGAAGGATGCTTGAATAACCATATTTTTCTTAAGAAAAATCTAGAATCTGATTAAGTGACATAAAACTCTGAATCTCTTCTTTTCTAGTGGATATACTTATAGAACAGATACCAGCAAACTATAGCCTATAGGTCAAATCTGTGCAACTGTCTGTTTTGTTTACATCTCACTAGCAAGAGAATGGTTTTCACAGTTTGAAATAGTTACACTTTAAACAGTTATATAATTACCCACATAACATCCTCAATTTTGTCTCCTAGCTGGCAAAGCCTAAAATATTTATTATCCTGCACTTGAACATGACCATTTGGATTCCTAATATAGTCCTTTTTGCCCACTGCTTACTAAAGCTGCCCCTCCACCTTGATAAGCTGCTGGGATCTGTGCCAGCAGGGAGCCTATTCAGAATCTCATGTCTACATGTAACAGTGCAAATTCTACATGCATCATGATATTTCTAAGCAACCATGACAGCAGGGAGAATATGGACTACCACTACTATTTCCCAAGCTAAAGAACTACTATCTCCAAATAAAATTTTAATTACTGAGACTCCACTTAGGTAGCTGAGGGAAAGGAGCACTAAATTTGTTTTGTCTACACGATGCGAACTCACGGCTTGTGTAGAGAGCATTTCATTAATGCTGTGATCATACTGCTCAGCCAAGATGGCTAACTTCCGGGTCTGCTCCTCCTTGAGTCGTTTCAGAACAGCTTTGTGCTCACTCTTTGGTGTAGTCTCTAATAGATGATTTCTTAGCGCTTTGTACTGCCTTGTTTGGATTTTGCAGGTGTCCTGAAACTGCTTTTTTATCTGGAGTTCTTTAGACTAGGAAGAAAAAAAAATGAATATTAAGTTTTTTTAAAAAGAATTATTTTATTTAACTTTATTTATTTCATTTTGACCAGAGAGGGACAGAGCAAGAGAGAAAGCAAGTCACCAGGTTTGGAACTTGAACCATAGTTGGCCATGTGAGAGTTCAGTGACCTTAACCACCACGCCACCTGCCAGCAATATATATAAGTTTATTTTTATTATTATTTCTTTTTTGCTAGAGGGCACATGTTTTTGCCAGAGCAAGACAGAGAGGGAGAGGAGAAAACATCCTCTGTGAGGAATGTTCATGGCCCAATCTAGTTACGTCCATCTCTCCCTCCCTCCTTTTGGGCATGCACACACACGTGCCCACTATGTTCCTCCTCAAGCCACGAGGTCCAAGATTCAAACTGCGCAATCAGCAATGTGGGATGTGGCTACTTTAAACAACAGGCCCCGGAGCCGCCATACATGTATTTATGTTTTTTTTTTTTAATTGTATTTTCTTTGTAAAAGCCATTTTTTAAAAAGAATAAATTTTATTAAACTGTATTATATTTATTCATCCATTTTAACTTGACCAGAGGGGGACAGAGAGAGAGAGAGGGAAAGTGAGAAAGCAAGCTGCCAAGTCCAGGATTCGAACCATGGTTGGCCATGTGGGAGTCTAGTGTGTCTTTAACTACCACACCACCTGCCAGCTCCATATATATTTAAGGTTTTTTTTTTTTTTGGAGAGGTTTTTACCATAGGGCGCGTGTGCTCGCAAGAAAGACAGAGAGAGGGGAATCAGCAGTTAGCGTAATGGTTATGTCGCTGGATTCCCATGTAGTCGACCGCAGTTCGCGTCCCGGCCCCGGTGGCTTAGAACTCATGCCGGGTGCGTGTGCGTGAGTGCCCAAGATCCCTAGAGGAGAAGGGATTGCGGCGTGACCATCCCCCCTGGGGGGTGATTTCTTGCTTTCTGTCTCTATGTCTCTCTCTGTCTACCGCCCCACAAAAAAAAACCCTCAAAAAAAAAAAAAAAAAGAGAGAGACAGACAGAAAGCAAGAAATCACTCCCTATGGGGGATGGCCACGCCGCAGTCCCTTCTCCTCCATTCTCCTCTCAGGATCATGGGCACACACGCACGCACACGTGCCCGGCGTGAGTTTAAGCCACCAGGTCCGGAACTTGAACTGCAGTCGATTACATGGAAGTCCAGCAACGGAGCCATACACCAACTGCTGGTCCCACCCAATAATATTTAAGTTTTAATGTATGACATTTGGTATACCTAATGGTTGTTTACATAAAAATAAAGGATACAAAAAGGGGGAAGAAAATCAGAAAGGTCACATTGTAGGGTTGTAGGTACTTTTACACTTAGCTATTGGGCCAAACCATTGGAGTATGTATTTTTGCAACAAAAACTCTAATGACTCTAATTTAAAACATTAGAACGGGGTGGGGAGGGGAGACAGCAGTTGGTGTAATGGCTATGTTGCTGGACTCCCATGTAGTCCACTGCGGTTTGAGTCCCAGACTAAGTGGTTTGTTATGTCGCTGAACTCCCATGTAGACAATCAAGGTTCAAGTCCCAGACCCCGTGGCTTAAATTCATGCCTGGCGCATGTGCGTGTGCCCAAGGTCCCGAGAGGAGAATTCAGGAGAAGGGACTGTGTGTGGCCATGCCCCTGGGAGGTGATTTCTCACTTTCTGTTTGTCTGTCTCTGTCTTTCTGGCGAGCACACATGCCCTACAGCAAAAACCTCTCCAAAAAACCCCAAAAACATTAAAGGGGGCCAGCAGGTGACATGGTGGTTAAGGGCACTGGACTCCCACATGGCTGACCATGGTTTGAATCCCAGATTTGGCAGCTTTCTCTCTTTCTCATCAAATTTAAATAAATAAATACATAAATATATAAAATAATCTTTAAAAATAATAAAACATTATAACATAAAAAATCCACTTATCAAGCCAACTACTGGTTAAGGCAGCTGGGTCCCACATGGCTGACTGCATGGCTTGAGTTCTGGACCTGGCAGCTTGAAAAACACACCAGGCACATGTGTATATGTGCTTAAAATCAAAGAGAATGGAGAAGAGATTGCAATGTGGCTATCCTCCCTGGGGGATGCTTCCTGACTCTCTCTCTTTTGGGTGAACGCACACACTTGTCAGAACAAAAAATCATTTAACAAAGGACTTCAACTAATATTAATAATCTCCTGGCAAATTTAGTGACTTTCATAAAATTTTTTAGACAGATGTTTTGTTTTAGACTACAGAGTATGTGTGCTTGCCAGAGAGATAGAAAGTGGGAAATAATCCCCCCAGGGAGGTGACCACGCTGCAACCTTTTCTCCTCCAGTCTCCTCTCAGGACTTTGGGCACACATACACACGTGCTTGGCATGAGTTTGATGTGACCATTATACCATCTGCTGATCCCAATTTTTTTTTTTTTTTTTAGGAGAGACTTTTGCTATAGAGCGTGTGTGCACAGCAGAGAGAGAGAGAGTGACAGAAAGACAGAAAGCGAAAAATTATTGCCCAGAGGGATGGCCACACTGCAATCCCATATCCTCTTGGGATTTTGGGCATGCATGCATACACGCCTCATGTGAGTTTCAAGCTGCTGGGTCTGGAATTCGAACTGTGGTTGGTCGTGTGGGAATCCAGTAACATAACCACTACGCCATCTGATGGTTCCAACTCATAAGTGTTAAAATGAGCTTTGGTTACTGTATGAATTCATGACAAAAAATTAAATTACTTATGAATTAGGTGTAGTGGATATAAAGTCCCTTTACTGACATGACACAACAATACACCTAGCGTATTTTTTTTTTGAGAGGTTTTTGCTATAGAGCATGTGCACTCACCAGAAAGAGACAGAAAGCGAGAAATAATCCCCCTGGGGGGGATGGCCATGCCACAATCCCTTCTCCACTCTCCTTTTGAGATTTTGGGCATAAACACATGCACTCAGCTGAGTTTTAAGCCACTTTGTCTGGGCTGACTATGTGGGAGACTAGTGACATAACCATTGCGCTATCTGCTAGTTCTGAGATTTTCTTTCTTTCTTTCTTTTTAAATCTGACCAGAGAGAGAGAGAGAACAAGTCATCTAGTCTGGGACTCAAACAGTGATTGGTCATGTGGGAAGTCCAGTGCCTTAACCACCACACCACCTGCTGGCCCCAGTGTTTTAAGTTTTAACAAGATAAATTTCTATAAAATATACATTAGTGGAGCCTAGAAGTAAGAATATATCTATTTCCAACTCTGAGGCAGAACTATGGTTGAAATTATTTTATCTTAATATAAATAATCCTAGGTATCAATAGGTTGATTCAGTGTGCAAAAAAATGTATGTATAATCAAATTTAAACATTTGTCTAGGAAAAAGTTTTCCCTTTTGTAATAATATTAACTACAGCTTGAGCATTCTAATCTGAAAAATCTCAAATTCTCCAAAACCTGAAACCTTCTGAAAGCCAATATGACACCACAAGTAAAAAATTCCACACCTGATCTCATGAGATGTGTTGCAGTCAAAATACTGCAATATAAGAATATAGTATAAAATTACTTCTTTTGGGGCCAGCAAGTGGCATGGTGGTTAAGGGCGCTGGACTCCCACATGGCCAACAGCAGTTCAAGTCATGGACCTGGTAGCTTGCTTTCCCCCCACCCCCTCTTCCTCTCTCTCTCTCACTCTGTCCCTCTGTGGTCAAAATAAATAAATAAATAAAAAAGTTAAATAAACTCATTCTTTAAAAAATTACTTCTTTAGGCTATGTGTTCACAGTGTACATGAAACAGAATTTAATATTTAGAATTAGGTCCCACTGTCCACATGTCACATTATACATATGCAAACATTCCAAAATCTGAAAACAAACAAACAAACAAAAAATCCCCAAACCCTCAAAATTCTAAACAATTCTGGTCCCAAGCATTTCAGATAAGGGACACTCAACCTGTATGGTTCTCTGTATTTTTCATCAACTAAGGCACTAATTCCTAGTCATAAGACTTTATTCTGTGAAGGGTCAGTAAATGTCCCGCTGGAAAAAGAAACTCTTGGTTTAGTTATGCTTAGTAGCACTTAGTAGCACCCTTAAATATTGCTCTTGGTTAACAAAGTTCTCCCTAGTGCTTCTAGACAGAAACGAAACAATGAAATTTAGATGTTCTTCTATCTCTGTATGGTAGTCCTTCCTTATTTGTAGAGGATGTATTCCAAGAACCCTAGTGATGCCTGAAACGATACCAAACTGCATATATAGGTTTCTATGATCTGATAACACAGATGGCTCCTAAGTGACTAATGGGCAGATAGCATATACCATGCAGATATACTGGACAAAGGTATAATTCACATTCAGAGTGGAAAAGCCCAAGATTTCATCATGATACTCAGAATGGTGTACAATTTTAAACTGTGAATTGTTTATTTGTATAATTTTCCATTTAGTATTTTCAGATCATGGTTGCCTGTGGGTAATAAAACCACTGAAAGTGAACTATGGATAACGAAGGTACTGTAGTATAATAGTCTTCATTTTTAAAAAAAGCTTTTATTTTCCCAAAATCTTGCACAAAAAATGTAATCATTCTATATTGTTACCTATTAAAAAAAAGAATTTCTTAAAAATTTTACTTCAAGAATAATAAGATTAATGCTTATATCAAGAACAAACTATATCCTTCAATATTTGACTCAAATGAAATCAGGATGAATGTAAGTTGAAGTTACTTCTGCTCATTTAATACAGAGTGGCAGGTTAAGAAACAGCAGAGCAGGCTATAGGTTTTTTCCCCAAACGAGTCTATAAAAACACCACCTTTCTCCTACAAATCCTAGTTAAGATATGTAAGTGCTCCAAACTGATGTCTCCTCTCCCTTCAAGAAGGGCTTGAATAAGGTTGGAAGAGGCAACTATTACTTAGGGAAACAGAAATATGACTTGGTATTAAAATCTAGCCTGGGGGGTGGCTAAGGTGCTAGACAGTCCCACG